GTCCCTCTATTTATTTATTTATTTATTATTCACACGTCTATCCCACCCTCCCCGAAGGCGGGACTTGTTGGCAATCCCCCGTATGGCATCCCGTGAGCCAATTTAATTAGCCATGACGGGCACGGATCCATGAGGCACGTTGTGGGGCATACAGTTAAGAGCAATCTGTCAACTTCTTCTAGGCTGGGCGGGTCGAAATAATCCCGAATGTGACCAGAAGACGTGCTAGGAGCCTCAAGTTTATTCACTGTATCAATTGTGCCAGGAAGGTCACAGCGGAGTGACAAGACTTTATCCGCAAAATAGCTTGCAAATGCCTCACAGCCAATATCCAATTCCCTATGGTTTAGTCTGCCTTGTGGCAGAGCCGTAATTGACTGAATTGTTCTAAACAATTGGGCTGGGGATGAGCTTGCGGACGCAATCTCGGCCACGTAGTAGTAGTAGTAGTAGTAGTAGTAGTAGTAGCAGTAGTAGTAATCTTTCAATTTATTAATCTCTCAATCCTGCAGAGCTGCTGGCTCTAAGCGATTTACAGTTACACATTTCACAAGGTACTAACAATGATTCATGGGGGTAAGGGAGGACAACACATATAAATCTTTAAATCGCACACGTTCGCAACCGACGGGGATATGTGTTCAGCTATAGACTAAACATGTTCCAGACAACATTTTTCCACTCGGCTTGGCTTGATGACGTCAGCTTTTTTCTCCAGGTCTGCTTTGAGTTGCAACACCGCACTGCCACCACCTGGGCGGAACGGCCCATTACAGGCTTCTTGATGCCGAAGAGATCTTTCTAGGCTTCCGATCTTACGAGCTGGACATTCCGTTCGCCGGCTAACACCTCCCCCACCGGGGGGTTTAGTGTGCCCACCCTCTCTAAGAAGTGGTACCCATTTTATCTACTCGCCAAAGCTCTTGAACCGCTGGGTGGACGGCGAGCTCGGGACAAGGCTGGTAGCTCACACCAGCACGGGGCTAGAACTGACAACCATTCTGTTCAGCTCAGATGTTACTATAACCAGAGGTTAAATCCCCTGTGCCACTTTTTGCGGCCTTAACTGCCATTTCATAATTCATCCTACTACTATACCACACTTATTAAATACCCTTGATGGAACAACTGGCAGTAGTATACAATAGTAGATCCCATTTCCAGACAAATACAAATCTAGAATCATTTAAAAATCAACATAAATTAAGATGTTCTATAAAATGATATGGGGAGTACCAGGACAAGACTGGCTGCTCTAAAATCCAAATCTGGCTGGTGCACTCTCCAGCTCAGAGGCCCTGGAACATAGCAAGCAAAATATACTACTATGTTGACCAAGCACCAGGAAGGAAACCAGATTAAAGTATTCATACAAGGCCTAATTAATCTGGAGGTTTCATTATGCCTGCCAACCAATGTTCCCTCTAAGCTGTGGAGTCTTGTGAGCATAAATTCTACTTTGTGAGCTACTGGCATTAAAGTTGTAAGCAAGCAATTTGGCTGATGCATAGATTAGTTTGCTCTGGAGCCCTCCCTCCTGAGCTGAGACAAAAATGTGTGAGCCGGAGGCTAAAAAACTGTGAGCTAGCTCACGCGAACTCAGCTTACAGGGAACACTGCTGCCAACTGCAGAAACCTATACCCATCCCCATTCCTTTTTGAGCCGGAAGAAAAATAACTGAGTAGTGCTGCATATGTTGCCTGTTCACTGGGCATGGAGTGTTAACACACCAGAGATCAATAGCTCAAGTAACCACTCCTGACACACTAATATCAAATATAGGGCAGTGGAGAGCCTAGAGCAGAGGTGTAAAACATACGGCCCACAAGCCGGATCCAGCCCCTGCAGGGCTCCTATCCAGCCCGTGAACAACTGGCTCTCTGCTGCTCCCTGCTCCTGCTTTGTGTTCCCTGCATTTCAGCTCCTTTTGCTCAGTCTCTCCTATTTCCTGCTTCGCATAGGAGAGAAAGAAAGCCAAGCCTCCCTTCCTTGGATTAACTGAGGGCCCCTCTGGGGAGGGAGGGGGAAGGAAAGAGCCAGAGAGAGAAAAATTTGAGTCCTGTGGCACTTCTAAGACCAACAACATTGGGGGGGGGGAGAATGTGAGTCATGGCACTTGGAGAGATCCCCCTTTTCAGCTCTAGCAGATGAGGGGGGAGAAACCTAACAGCACAGCTTGCAATTCTTTATTAGTGAAAGGGAGCAAGAGTCCAGTAGCACCTTAACGACTAACAAAATTTGTGGCAGGGCATAAGCTTTTATGAGTCACTGCTCACTTCTTCATATACAGCTAGAATGTGAGTCCATCTGTCTTTATATCTTCGAGAGTTAAGTTATTTCAGATGCCAAATGACAATAGCAGACATTGGTAATAAGAGAAGAAACCTAGGTCTCAATTCAGTCCAGGAGGATGCATTGTTTTGCACTTCATTATCAGTTGTAATTCAGCAATCTCTCTTTGTAATCTCCCTTTGAAATTCCTTTGTAAGATAACTGCTTGTCTTAGGTCAGCACTGAATGTCCTGGAAGGTTAAAATGTCCCCCCACTGGTTTTTGAATGTTGTGGTTTCTAATAGCAACAGAAAGAGTAAGAGTCCAGTAGCACCTTAAAGACAAACAAAATTTGTGGTAGGGTATGTGCTTTCATGAGTTACTGCTCACTTCTTCAGACTTATTTCCATTTATTCTTTGCATCCTCATGGACTGAATCCTTCTGTACCAAATTAAGACCTATGTTTTCTTTCTCATTACCAATGCTGATGTCTCCACACCTACTATTCTGCAAATCATACCTAATCTAATCAAGCCCGCTATTGCCATTTGGCATCTGAAATCATCTTTATAAAATTTATATCTCTGGTACCTCATGTTACATAAATACTATATACTATGAGAACTAGCTGTTTCAACTATATACAAAATTATATAATTTCCCTTCTAAAACCCTGATCTGGATTGGCAAATACAGCAAAGTTCTCTCTTTGTACCTGTAACATGGGGAAAACACAGGATATTCCTTCATTATTGGGTTGCTGTGAGGATTACTGATTTAGGAAGTATGTGGATCACTCACAAGTACCATGTTAAATAATAAAGTCATATCTAGTATGTTCTCTACAGCTAAACAAAAGTGAACATTTGTGAATATTGTCTCCCCCAATAAATCTTCCTTTATCACAGAATTAACAAACCAGGTCTTTCAAATACTGTATTAGTGGCATTCAGCACATGCTAACTGGAGTAAATATATACTTTATGCTAAAACAAGTATAAAAAGCAATGTAGTTTATAGCGCACATGATACAGAATCTCATTTCTTGGAGCTAAGTGCCTGCTTGACTAAACATTATCATGCTGTCACCATTTACTGCTTACTTGTACTAGTCTGTACTTCTCTTCCCCTCCCTGGGTTCTCCTTCCTACACATACTACCACACACACAGAATGTTCTCTTCCCTTCTGCTTCAGTTTGCTTTTTCTTCCCACATGGCTTTAGTTTCTGTATACATGTAGTCCCTTGGAAAACAAAAATTAAAAGCAGAATTCTGTTCCCAAAGGCATTAGTTGACAGCCCAATCCTCGACTTCGTAAATGCCTTTTATATGGGAGCAGTAACACACAGCAAGGGAGGGAAATTTAACTTGGCTGCATAATGGCAAACCAAATGGGCTGCTATGAAAGTTAATATCATTCATTCTGAACTATTTGTAAAGGAAACACTGCATGTGAAGAGGATAAACTGAGCACATAAGCAGTCTAAGCAGTAAACTCTTAAACGGCAGAATAACACAGTATGGAAAGTTAGGCCATTTCTGAACTACCAATTGCTTGGAGGGTGGCCTGTGCAATGTGACTGACATACAGCCCAAGCAGTGTATATCCATCTTAATACCTGTTTCACAATGAATAATGCAACTTAACTGTTTCTACATATCCTTCTAGCAACTTTTAGCTCACATATAGTTCTATGTGAGAAGTAATTTACATGAAATTAAGGGATCCACAAGCACAGCTCTGCAGATATTCCCAATATTTTTTATACAGAACACCAGCTTGCCTCTTGGGTGTGAGAGATGTTACTGAAGAAACTCCACCACAAGCTTTAGCAGGCCAGGTGAAGTTTTCTTACTTACTTGTGTCCTACATCCAAGGCTGCAGTTATTCTGGAGAAGTTCCAAAAATGTGCATCTTAATCTGACTTTTAAATTTTTAAAAACCAAACTGGCCTGCAAAGCTTTAAAGTATTTTCGTAATACCCGGTGAAGCTTCTGAAGCTATAACAGCTTGAAGTATATATGATTTCTAGTGTTGGGGAATAGGACAAGCCGCTTTCACAGTGGCACTGGAATATCTAGCCAGTACTCTTGTGTGCCAGGGAAAGTTCTCTCCTACCCCTAATACCCAAGCCTTTCTTGGCAAAGAAATGTGAAATACTGAAAACTCTCTAGTACCACTGGGGTATTTTGTTGTATTGTGAATGTCTCTTCTGTTAGAATGAAATTTTGAGCTCAGTCTAATATCATTATTGGAATGTTAGTGTATTTTGAAATAGTTTCTCTATGAAATCAAGAGTTAATAGCGCATATTTCCTCTTCCTAGACAAAATTGCTCAAAGTTGCTGAAGCTAAGTAAGTATAAGATGAGATTGAACTTTGTGGCTCAACAGATGAATCTTAACACAGAGATGCGACAATAGTGCTAGTTAATATGAAACTATACAACATTTATGTACTATTAATGAAGCATTATTTGTAGAATAAGCACAATTGTACTTCTCTGATTTCAGGACCAGTAATGCAATTGAGGCTGAGTCAAGAAATAAATTCTAGCCAGCAGGCACTGCCAACATTTTACCAAAAGTGGTTACACATTTGTTATTTTAAAATAAAATGAAAAGCTATCCCCAATTTAAAACTTAACACTCAAACGCCTACATTTAATTTACTAAAAGTCTGCTGCTTTTAATAAACATGTGACAGAATTGTAACAAGCGTATTACCGTTATCTTTGCTGCTGTTTTCTTCAATTGTCATTTGTTCAGCAAGTTCAGAAAGTGACTCATCAATGGTTTGGCTCCCACGTAGTGTTAGGGAAAGTCTCCTCTTGAACTTTTTCATTCTATCAGCAGTAAGTCTGGCTTAAGAAAGCCTGTTAAAATAAGAAAAATGTCAATTTAGAATTTACGAAAATTATTTCAGCTATCACCAAAGTTCAGTTTTATGCAGAAAATATGCTAATTTTGACAGAATGACTAATTTATGAAACAAAGGCCTTCCACCATTTCTGTCCCAGGTGGGAACCTGGTAAAAAACTTAAAACCTCCCAGTATATAAAACTCATAAAAGCAAAACATCAGTGAGGAATTCCTAATCTTTAATGAACTTACAAAATTGAAAGGAAGAGGCAGTGCAGAGGGCAGAAGGGAAAATTCTTTATAAAAACAGTAATGCATTTGAATACTGCCTAGCATAGTACAGATGCTGTGGAAACTGCACCTTTATAAGGATAGATCTAATCCAAAAAGGAATCCACCAAT